CGTTTCTTCCATCTAAAAACAGCTTTTTATTCTGGTAAAAAGTTGGCAGCACTGACCGCAACCTGTGTGAGGGCTGACGGCAAAAGCTTTTTCTTTTGTGCTCATCTTTGCTGCCGGCAGAGCCAACAGCTGTTTTTATCGTTCTCCTGGACTTTGACAACATTAAAGTTGTTATGTTTTGAATAGTATAACAATTAAATTGAGCAGGTAACATGAAGGCGTTTATTTACTTCCAATTTCTGTATACAAGCTTGGTTCGAAAACTATCTATGAATATGTGTATGTATGTATGTATGTTTGTAAATAAATTAAATACGAATTAAGCAAATGCAGCTGATTCGCGGCATGGTAACTCCCACTTAAGAAAATGTTGCGAATGTATATAATAGTCGAAAGCTTGCATTGAGCTGGTGTGTGTCTTTGATAATACCGTTATAAGCGGCGAGCTTTTTCGCTGAATAAATGCATTAGCTTTTCAGATGGAACAGAAACACCTGTTAGTCTTGCGCAACTTGAGCCACCAATCAAAGTCGTTCTTAATGTACTTAGCCTTCGAATCGTCTCGCTTCTTCTGAAACGCCTCCCGATCTTTCAACCATATACGCGCATACTCCATGCCAATGAGCATTGCCATCGTACCAGGCACACACTAGCAGAGTTATTGGGTTAGTAATGTGAGTTCGATAGATTTCCCATTAGAATATTTACCTCTCTCTCGAGGCTTGACACCATGACTTGATGCTGGGCACGTCGCCCGGCCTCAGTGGTCAAATTATCTTTGGGTCTGCAAATCAACGAACGCGACCATTCCTTACTCTTTGGTAATGCCATACTATCTATGTATATACATATAAGCTATACCTATATTTTTCAATACACAAATAATTTCGAATCTAACCGTTTTCTTAAAACTTTTACTTTTGTCTAAACATACTTATTGTAGAAAGTCTGCTATTAAACTGATCCAAATGGTAGTACAAATGGTGCTAGTACAGACAAGGGTATTTTGATATAATAATATGTTGTAGATGAATTTGACATTATACTCAGGGCTAAATAAATACATATGTATGTAAATCTTTCCATAAAGCCACATGCTAACATTTGCTTGGGAACATTGAGAACTGGACTGGAACTAGGACCAAATAGTTAATAGAGAAAATAATAATGAAGTCCTAAAATATTGCATAGTATATACACACATACATACATATGTACATACATATGTATGTATGTATGAATGTATGTTCTTAAATATGTAAAGCAGAATTACTTCTATATGTGTACATATGTATGTATGTGTTAATATATTGACATGTCTGTTTCAGCATCTGCCTAATTCTGGTCTTGTATCCAAGTTTAAAAAAAAAAATCCTCCTGAATATAAATAGCAAAGAAATGTTTCCAGGAACAATGCACGAAAAAAAAAGTAAGAACAACAGCGACAACTACTACTACATAGACTTTAAGACAAAGAAGTAAAACAAACTTTAAGCCAATACAGTACCTATGTATGTGTGTACAAAAAAACGAAAAAAGAAACTGAAAAGAAAAGAAAAACAATACAAATGAAGTCGAAGAGGAAGACGAAGTGTGGCAGTGCCGTAGGATGAGCAGCGCAAACTAAAGCAAAACTCCTCGTCGCACACCGCTAGGGAGCGAGCTTAGTAGCAGAAGTAGTAGCAGAAGAAGGGACAGCAGCAGAGGCAGCGGCAGAGGCAACACAAGTAAAACAAAACGAAAATGTGGGTGGGGATGGGTAACTGGCAACGGTACGGGCAAACGTAAATCAAACAAAAATAAAACAAAGCAAAACAAATAAAATAAACAAAACTACGCAGAAGTAGCAGGCGGACGTCAACGACAACGACAACGCCAACAACGGCAACAGCAACAATAACAACAACAACAACGACAACAACAGCAATAACGATGGCAAACAAGGAGCAAGCAAAACAACGGTAGAGTGAAAAGGGCACTGGGCATGAAAGAATGAAAGAAGCCAAAGCAAAACACCCACACAAACAGCCAAATGAAATTGTACAAAACAAGGCAATGCAACGATAATTATGATGACGATGACGACGACGACAACGATGATGATGATGATGATGATTAAGCAAACGAAGCAAATTCCGTTAGCTAAAACAAACATTTGCAAATGTTCTCAACAAACTTTTGGAGCACAACAAAACGAAATTGAAAATGCACCCAGCACTGGGCACTGCCTGGGCAACAATGGCGGCGGATGGAATTCAAGTTTGAGTTACAGGCCAAGCACACTAAAACAGTTCACAGTACATATGCAGAAGTATGTGTGTGTGCGTGTGTATTCGTATTCGTATTGGTATTGGTATTGGTATTTGTATTTCTATTTGTATTTGTGTGTCGCTTTTGCTCTGTGCGCTCTGCAAACAAATTCAATACCGATCTCGCTCTTGCTCTCTCTCTTATTCTATCTCTGTCTCTCTGCCAGGGGCTGCCATCATTTGTTATGTCCTTCTCACTCGTCGTGCGCTGCTCTCTAACGGTTGTCACGTCCGTTACCCTTCAGGACGGCTTCTAAGGCAACTAACTGTATGCGTAAATAAGCATTTTACAATAATACATACGACCTTGTTGTTGCTTTGGGCGTCTCGTGTACCCAATAGAGTACAGGTAAAATGGAGCATATTCCGGTAATTAACGAATAAGTAAAGGTATACTAATGTTATACGATTTGGAATTATGTATTTCGTAAATTATAGACTTTGTATTATATGTATTATAAAATATTATATATTTTAAAACAATTAATATTTAAGTATTGAAAATTTGTATTATGATATACGTATAATGTTAATATAATATAATATAATTTTTTAAAATTTACTTTTGCTGACCTTTAAGTTCATAATAAACAAAGAACTAGAATTAAGAAATTTTTCGAAAATTCTTCATAAAAATATCAAAGCTCAAGGGTCGCCTACTGCTAGCCCTCAACTGCAACTGTTACGGCTACGTAGTGCTCAAAACTCGACTAAGGTTAAAACTCACCGACTATTAGCCACCCACGCAAGGTGCACGTGAGTCTCTTCTTCTTCTTTTTGGGGGAATCGTTATGCAAAAAATGCTTAATTAATTAAATTTTCAGACTAGAGCTACGTTTGCAATTTGACTTTGACGTATTTATATGTCAATGTAATTGTTAACAGTTGTACTTTTCCAAAATTACAACCATAATGCAAGCAAAAAATCAAAGAAATATTCCATTCGGGTATGCCGAACTAAAAGTCACCCTATATGTAACTATGTAGATAAAATTCTTGAATATTTATAAAGACAGACATATAGTATTTTTATTTAGATGACATACCCCACAATACAGTACGGAGTACCTAAATGTATAATACCCATTTTTTACACCGCTATAAAGTACAGGGTATTTAAAAAAAATAAACAAGAAAGCAAATTTTTGCTGAATGAACAGAAAATATTATACAAGGGCTGGCAGAGCGAAGCCAACGAATGTGGAAATTGCAAGGGGGAGTTCACGTCATGTTCGTAATTGCTCTACAAAAAAGTAGAACAACAAGAACTGCAACAACAACAAGAGCAACACGCGTACTTTTCTCTTCGAAAACAATGTCAACATGGACAGACGTTCGACATTAAACAAATAATAACAAACAACAACAGAAATTATAATGCAACTTGTTTTGACCAAACAAAAATATTACAATTGAAAATGGCAGCAAAACTCAAATATTTCTTTATCGAGTGAAGTTTTAAGCTTTTTCATATTAAAAAAAAAAACACTGAGGTTTTCTTTTCAATAGTATATTATAATATCTAATCACTATTACTGTAACAATTGCTCTGACGAGTTAGGAGGCGCATTACCTTGTCAAAAGTGTTGCATACAATCAGGCGCAGGGACAAAGAAATTCAGCAAATAAGTCTTTGTTGATTTTTGCATGCTGTTTGCATTTGATTCTGCTGCTAACTTCAGTTTGGAGTGTTTACTCTTTGTATACAATAAGCAAACAAAGAGAAGCACAAATATGCTGATGTATTTCTAAACAGAATTCCAAATATTTGTATGATCAGCAATAAAAGCGTCCTTAACTTTTTCCTAATTAATTAAAATATTTGATTTGTTTTCTAGCTGTCGCTATTTTTATTTCTGAATCCATTTTCATTTCAGATTTCTTAAAATTATTCTACTTTATATATAATATAATTTAATATAATATAATATGATATAATATAATATAACAAATTGATTGATATTTTAAGATTAGTTGCTTAGGTGTGACTTACGTCTAGTATGTAAACTAACAAGGAATTGTCGGGAATCGGAAAAAGATTGTTCTTATAGCTTTTATATATTTACAATGATAATATAGACCATAAACTCCTAAAGGGCGAGAATATACTTTCTCAAACTATAGAATAATTCCTAGCATATTGTACATGTAAATTGAACTAAACATTACAAAGATTATCATTTATCTATATTAGAATTTGTGATTCAACACGAATGAAGAATTAAATTATTGTAAATAGGATTATTTAGCTAAATGGATTTGAATAATAATGTGAAGTTTTAAAACTTGTTTATTTTTTTTAGCATGCTTATTTATTTATTTATTTTTTAATTTAAGAAAAGTAAACAACATTTGAGATAAAATTCATAAAATATGTATTATATAGCTGATAAATTGTAGGTACATGCACACATACATACATATCTATGTACATAATATGTAATTTAGCTGGCTTCATCAATCGGCACTCAATTTGAGAATACTTTTGTTTTATCTTAGATGTTCGCATCACTCTAAAGAATGTGTATATGTACATATGTATGTTTTTATGTGTATGTGCATTTAGTCCACATTAAAATGCTGCTAACAAGTTTTTGTTTTTGAATACGCCTGCGCGAAATACTTAAATTCAAAATATGCAATTCGCGCACGGCTTTATTCATGTGGATGTGGAGGTGTATGTATGTATTTATGTGCATATACATGTTCATTTGTACATACATACATATGCAGAAATAAATACGCATATGGTGAGATATTCATATTTACATACATTTGTATATAAATGTGTGCGCACACAATTTATGCAGAATTAAGTACTTTGTATATGTACATACATACATACGTATATGTATATGTGTATATAAAATCTTATAAATGCAATTAAGTAATTAAGTATATTATACATACTTATATGTATTTATACAGTAATATGCATGCATACATACATAAATACATATATATATGTACATACATACATACGCACAACATTGTATTTATCTGTCTCACCTTCCCTTTCGCTAAGCCGTGCGACAACAGGCAGCAAATAATTAAGTTCATTGCTTCTATTTGCGTATTGGCTGCCTTGCATATTTCGCCTCATTGTTGTTGTTGCTGCTGTCGTTTTTGCATATTTTTGTAGCTCAGCAACAAAAGCGACCATCGGCAAAAAAAAAAAAAAAGTAAACAACAATAACAACGAAACAGCACATGGGGCTCATCTTCATTAGCCCTGCTTTCGTCTGTCTGTCTGCGCTGCTCGCCTTGCCTTTTGTCTCGCTCTGGCACTGTTGTTGTCTCCTACCAACCAACCAACCAACCTTTCCTACCCGCCTTTATCCCTCCCTCCCTCTTCCATGGCTTAACTTTCTTGCATTCGCCTCTGTCAGGGGCTGGCGTTGGCGCAAAACAAAAAAAGAAACAACAAAAAAACGTTGTTTACTTGGAATGCCTGCGTTGCCTTTGTTTTTGTCGTCGCTGCCACTGATGTTTACACAATTCCACAACCGAAGTCCAACAATAAAAAAAACAACAACAACAAGCAGCGCGAAAAGCTCAAAAGAAGCAGCGACGCCAACGTCGGCATAATGACCTTCAGCAACGCTGACGTCGCCGTCATCAGCATCGTCG